TTTTTCAGTGTTATAATGCTGGGAAAATATGAACGCAATACTTCTCAGTAATGTCTTAAATGATACTTTTTTGCATTTGCAAACCATGTGAAACCGCATTAGGATGAAAACCGTGATCTGATTGCAACTAATAAGATAGGATAGCATTGCAATATGTTTTTCAAGCTGTGAACAGGACTGAGTACCAAGGACGATTTCCCCTCTGATTTCACATAGGATCCAAAGGCAGCAATGCAACAATGGTCAAATACGAAAAGAAAAAGTCGCCCTTATTTATTTATTGTGTCGGTATTAATGATGCGAATTATCACCATTTGAAATGTAATTTTGTATTAGCTTTTTTTAAAAAAAATGTGTTTGAAAGAGGTACTATAATCAGATATAAGTATTATAAATCACTCACTTGAAATAACCTGATAAGCTTGCTCTCCCACCATTCCTGTGTTTTCTGAAACTCAGATTGTCCCTTGAATGTTGACAGTTCCTCTTTATTCTCAGAAATTTATTTTTCTGCCAACTAATGTAGCTTAGTCCACCAAAACCTTATTTTTCCTTTTTCTCTCCCTCATCCTGACAGAGACCAATACGTAGCGACTGCTAACTAATGAATCTTTCTGGTGCCAGTGAAGGTTTTGATTATATGCCTGCCCAGACTCCAAATAGAGCCCTTTTTGATTTTCTGGTGAATAGGAGGAGGAGAAAATACTGTACTGAGGCCTCATGTCTTGAGCTGAAGAGATAGAGGACTAGTCTTACTTCATTCAGTGATGGACACTTGTTTTCTTAATTAGTTGGAGGTTTTTATGGAAAAACAATCAGAGCAGATGGGGGGAAAAAAGCTGACATTGCAGGTTTCAAAACTGATGAAGCCTGTGCTAGTTACAGCTGCTCTACCTTCCCTGTGCTGTGAGTCCAGGAGTTCTGCTCATTTTTAGGCTGTGCAGCACAGGGATGATACAGGGACAAAGAAACTTGGACTGCTGGTAGCTGAGGAGCTGGAGTCATCTGTAAATGAAGGGCTGCAACTGCCAGGCATTTCAAAATCAAGACTTAAATTCTTACTGTAGCTTCTTACTATTTCCCTGCATTTATATGGAAAAAAATGTAAGTACTACTACCCTGGACTGTATCTACTTGCCACTGACTTCTGGGCTGACCTCCAATTCACAAGGACTTCATATTTTTTAAATGAAGGCTGAGGTTTGCAAACAAATCACATACTTCCTCACAAAAATAATTACTGTGAGGTGGGTGACAAGCCATTAGATCATGGTTACAATTTGACTTTTCAACATAAACTCCTAGAGGAATCTTTGTTCAAATGGTAGCACCAATGACAGCATAGACAATTTTTTTCTGTTTGCTCAACAGCTTCTCGAGAGGTGGTTAGGCATCTCCTTCTTCAGACAAAGTCAGTTGTTCTTAAATAACCTTCTTAAAATAAATGCAGATTGGTACCAAAGTCATTGAGGTTTGGCTTGGGGGATGCACTTTATGAGCTTTGGTAGGCTGGCCAGGAGTGAGCCCCCCCACCATGCCGTGCCAGGTTGGAGAAATCCCACGCCGTGTCACTTACTACCTGGTTGGCACCACTGTCTCTCTTTCTGAAGCACAGCCAAGCAAGGAGACTGGGGTGAAGGCTGTGCAGAGCCCTCAGAAAGAATTACATGAATTTAAAATATTTTTCTCTTAATTTTATCTAAGAAGTCAAGAAATCAGTGCTCAGAAATTGCCTGACCGAGAACTGTAGCACTGTGTACCAGATTTCTTGATGCACGTGGAAAGGGGTGTGTATTCTTTCATGGGATGAGATGTATTTAACTCTGTTGCTTATCAGCATGGACGAATATATTGCACTTTCTTGCTGAAGCAAGCTGACTGTACTTCCCTGCTCTTATGTAATTAATGAAGTTTTTGCTGTCTGTTGTGGTGTGATTTTCAGAGATGTGTGAAACAACAAAACACGCTGACAGAGTGACAAGTGGTAACAATTCATCCTTTCTTAGAGTCTTGTCGAAAAGTGGAGAGGATTAGACCATAACCTCAGACTAGAGGAGAAGAAGGTCTGTTCCCAGAGAAGACTCCTGCAGCACCTGCAGTCAGAGCACGCCTTTTCATGAGACTGTCAGTGTTGGGAAGGGAGGTTTTCCTCACACATTGCCCTCTGCTCTGTCTGACGCTGCTTTAGAGAATGGCTCAAAGGGAAGGTGCCTTTTTTCCTTCTCCTTTTGAGAAGGGAGCAGAGGAAAGAGAGCAGAAAACTGCTGTTTTGATCCGCCTGTTTCTCATTCTGGTTGCATAAACACACCAGAGTATTTGTCTAAATTAAATTAAGCAAAGCTTTCATGTTCTCTCCCTGCTTCCAGAAAGCTAGCGTGGCTGCTTGCAGATTTGCAGCTACAGAGGAGACAAAAATCTGTAGTGTGCACAGACTCGAGTGCCGAGCAGTGTCATGCTGAAAGAACTGCACAAGCTCTAATAGCATATAAAAGCTTTCTGGGCATCAAGCAAAAATCTGTTTAAATCCCTGACAGGGATGAGAGCACAGCACGTATTATCAGCATACGCACAGAGACAGAAAGGCTCTCAGAACATTTGCATTTTGGATTTGCTATAATTAGAAGGTTTCAACCTTTCCAAAAAGGTTGAAATGGTGGAAGGAGTAAGTGTAAAACTTCAGCTTTTTTCCATCCCCATACAAATATTTAGGGCTCTTCCCTTTTCTCCGCCTGTGTCCCTGAGTTACACTGATTCCAACAGCAATTTTTCTTGAATGTAAGGGATGTAAAAAGCCACAGGCTTCTCTTTCATATTAATAATCATAATCCGATCCTCAGATGTTGACAATCCCAAGTATTCCCCACCCAACACACTGAAGGACGGACCTCCACCATGCACAGCAGTAAACACAGAGCAAAAAGATTGTCCCTGGGGTGCAGTTCCTCATGAAAGCAGATCCTTTTCCTAGTGAGCACATGTGTAGAGCTGAGTATATTGAGATACAGACATACCTGTGCCTGGACAGACCTCAGATAAAATGTGGCAGGTGTCTGTGAGGCAGAATGATGCAAGCTGAACTGGAGCAGAAAGGATGCTTGTGGGTCAGTGGTGAGCAGGTCAGATAATGATGTAGTACATATGGGTTCTCTGAGGGGAAAATGGCTATTTTGGGAAGGTTTGACTGTAGGGAAGCTTTGTCTCACTATGATTTCCCTTATTTTGATAACTAATTTGCCAGACTAAAATCTCTCTGCAAAGACTCTGTGTAACTCAAGGATGATTATATTAGTGATCTGTATCAAGTGGCACAGCTGAGCTAGCAGAGTGGCAGGTGGATGAATGCTTTCTCCAGTATCAAACAGATTCAGCAGAAAATTATTCAGGAGCAGGAAGAGAAGTGTTATTAGGTTGAAGATGTCAGCTCAGTCACCAATAGCCATCTGTAAAGATGAGGGAGAAAAGTAAGAAGAGAAGACCATGGCCACTAAATAGAGGATTCTTGCCTAATTTAAGAGGAAAATGAGTATGTCTCTACTTATGTGGTTAAGTAGAAGGTAAGTAGGAACGAGTTGCAGAAATGTTTTCCCTTCTTGTCTGTTAACTAGATGTGACTGCCACTTCAGTGATGACAGCCCTCCCTCCAGTTTCAGCTACTCAAACAGCAGCAGACAAAGACTGGGAATAGGCAGTGTGGATAAGCTGGTTATTGAATGTTTGGACTGTGACCCCCTTCTTCTTCCAGTCAGACTGTTGAATATTCATGTAAGTGGGCTCAGATAGATCAATGCCATCTGTCCGTATTTATATGACTTCATCCAAACAACTCCAAAACATGTACAATTTTATTCCCACAACGGCTCTTTAAAGCAAAAGGGATATTTTACCTATCTGAAGGGAAGAGGAATGAAAAGACAATGTGATTTAGCAAGTAGCCAGATTTATTCATCTAAGTGCCAGGCCCAGCTATAGCCAAAGGTCCTCAAGGCAGAAATCATATTTGGTGCTCTAAGGTGTTCCATAATTCGCCTAATGTTGCTCATTAAATGTAAAAAAATCTTTGTATGCAATTAAAAAGGAAAATGGAGATTCCATCACTATATATGTGTATGGGTACAGAGTGAAACTATTTGAGGAGGAGAAATCAATAATAAATGCATTATTTAGCCTGCACTGCATTTAGTTGCACACCTTGATGACCAGATAAAAGAGGACTGTCATACAAGCTTCAGTAAACAATGTGTCCATATGGACAATTCCATGAGGCAACAGATTGTCACAGCTACATTTGACCTGTTTTAGAGCAATCGTGACTCTCCCTTGGCACAGTGGATGTGCTGCTGACATTTCAGCAGAGCTGCTTCAAAAAAAACGGAGTGCCATTGTCAGAATAGCGTGGCATTTTATGAGTGAGAAGCAATTTCTACTTTTTAAATCCAACAGCAAGCCCAGTACCTCTCCTTCTCTCCTCAGAGCCCCTTAAAACAGTCTGAGCGGGAGAGATGAAGGGACAAGACTGCTGAGAAGATGAAGTCAGACTTTTCAGTGTACCTACATTAAGTTACTGAATATGTCACTCATACGCTTCAGGGATTTGAATCTGAAGCTCAGATTCAGCTGACGGAAGCCCACACACAGGCAGGTTATCACAGAAGAGACGTCTGTGAGATGGTTGAGGGAGGGTGGTTGGTTTCATACCTGCTCCCAGAAGGTACTTTACTTTGTTATCTGTCCAGGCCCTCGCCTTCGAGCTGTTTTTAGACATGAGCGCATTTTGAAAACAAAAAGGAATACATTTTCACTGTGGTGCTCAAGAAACACTTAACATGCATTTTGGAAGCACGCCAGAATGGGTCTTTGTGCCTTTAACACCATATTGAAATGTTTCCTTCTTTCAAGGATCTTTCTCCTTGGCTTAGTCTTTAAGAATAGCCTCGAGGCTTTCAGTTTACTCAGTCAGTATATTTTTGTTGATGATTTTTTTTTTCCCAACTGTTTTTCAGGCATTGGAAAAAATGTCATCTGTGACCGAACGGCGACTCCCCTGGATGCCTTTAGGATGATGACTGCGGCTCATTACTACCCAAAGCTCATGAGCATCATGGGGAACGTTTTACGCTTCCTGCCTGCTTTTGTGAAGATGAAACAGCTGATCCAGGAGGGTTACGTAGGGGAACTGCTGGTGTGCGAGGTGCAGGTTCACAGTGGAAGCCTGCTAGGCAAGAAGTACAACTGGAGCTGTGATGACCTGATGGGAGGTGGGGGCTTGCACTCGGTTGGCACCTACATCATCGACCTCCTGACCTTCCTCACCAGCCAGAAGGCCGTGAAAGTGCACGGGTTGCTCAAGACCTTCGTGAAGCAGACGGACCACATCAAGGGGATACGGCAGATCACCAGTGATGACTTCTGTACCTTTCAGATGGTCCTGGAAGGAGGCGTGTGCTGCACGGTGACGCTCAACTTCAACATCCCGGGGGAGTTCAAACAAGACATTATTGTGGTGGGTTCGGCAGGACGGCTGATTGTAATAGGCACTGACCTCTACGGACAGAGCAACAGCTCTCCTCAGCGGGAGCTCCTGCTAAAGGACTCCACGCCAGTCAGCAACTCCTTACTTCCAGAGAAAGCCTTCAGCGACATCCCATCGCCCTACCTCCGGGGCACCATTAAGATGGTCCAAGCTGTCCGGCAAGCATTTGAGGACCAGGACGACAGGAGGACCTGGGACGGGAGGCCCCTTACGATGGCTGCCACTTTTGATGACTGCCTGTATGCCCTGTGTGTGGTGGACACCATTAAAAAGTCAAACCAGTTGGGGGAGTGGCAGAACATTTCAATCATGACTGAGGAGCCAGAACTGAGCCCAGCATACTTAATCAGCGAAGCCATGCGGAAGAGCAGGATGTCTCTGTACTGCTAGCTCCTCTTGGCTCCTAGGAAAGAATAGGAACCAGACAGCTCTCAAAGGAGATGGTAATTCAGCCCCTGTGAAGGGCTTGGGTGTCTTAGAAACAGCTGAAGAGAAGGAAATACAGTGTCTGGATCAATTAAATCTGTTGGCAGCTAAATGCCAAAGTGATATGGTCCTTCAAAATGCCCAAAACAGATAGAAGACGTAAGAGCTGATATAACTTAACTGTTTTAATAACAGTATTAGCTGGGTGATTGGAAAGATATATCACGGACTCATCTCCTGCTTGCAGGTGCTTTAGATTATCCAATTGTGTTTACTGTGAAAGGTTGGGAAGATCCTTTTAGATTTTCCTTACCTACCAGAGGGCTGTGAAGGTACTGTCATGTCGTTAAATTTTCTGTAGTGTCTGACATGAATGGTTCCTACCATGACAGCTGACACCACCATGCTGTAGTACTACACCTCTAACCAACACACAGAATAACAGGACTTGGTGTGAAAGTGTTGCGTGACAGGGAAAATCTTGGCAGCTCACTTTTCATACAACCTGTTAGGAGCTTCTCTATGTTGGTTTAGCTAGTTGGTTTTTGTTTGGTTTGATTTTTTTTAAAGCACAATTAAGTAGGAAAATGTGTGGCTTTTAAAACAAAGCAGTCCTCAACCACAGTGCATATGCCCCAGTATTTGGGGAGGGAGGGAGGGTCTTCTATGAGCTCCCTGTAAGCTTCAGTATTACATATTTGCTGATTGAATGGGTTGTGGAAAACCTTTAACAGATGACAAGTGGCACGACACAGTAGTGATAGCGCGTTTTATTACACAGCCAAACTCAGGCTAGTCTTACGAAGGTCTCCTGTGTCTGGGACTGACTTTTGAGTGAATTCATCATGCATTTTGGTTCTAGTTGGAAAACAATAGAAACACAACCCAAAACCATACAATGTTTAGATGAGCTGTGTTCTTTTAAACCTTTGTGAACTCACACTTGAGAGATGCACACCAAGTAATTTCACATCCCTCAACCCAGAAGCTCTCGCCTCCATCAAGTGCTGATTGTGACTGAAAAACAAAAGGGATGAACAAATTTCCCGTCCATTTCCAAGGAAAATAATTGACATAGGACTCCCACTCTCCTCATCTCCTTAAAGTGGCCAGCTACTGGTACTGTAGTAATCATTCCCTGTCATCAGTGCAGGGGTGAACAAACTCTTTTGATATGTTTGTCCTGTTCTTCTTTTTAATATTTTAGTTGCAGTCTTGAAATAATATATTATTTTGAGAATATCTTCTTGAATGAATATAGTGAAAGGCACATAAATTATTCCCACTAAACAGGGATACTGTTTTTCTGCATAAAGCTGCTCCACTGCTGATGTGTTTACAGTGCTAGGTCTTCAGACAGTAAAAAAGTAGAACACAAGCATATGGCACTAAATTACATTAAACTTGAGAAAAACCTTTTCAGGGTTTGTTTTGTTAACTTTGATGAGGGGAAAGAAGAAAGCATTTGGATGAACAGTAAATGAAAAGACAAAATATGACTCCTCTTTCTCAAGGCCATCCCATTAGTGTGGCCCTTATAGTTTAGAAGGAGAACTGTCAGAGTAATTTAGATTTTTTAAAACCACTTACAGTTTTGCTGTTTTTATGAGCACTAAGGACTTCTCTAGGGTTTTTCCTACAAATGACTCTGATTGCTCTATGCTCTTGCCTGTCCTATGCCCAGTTTTAGAGCTTTGTGGTTTTGAAAAGGAGGGCATCAATAGTGTGGTTTATCTTATCTGACTTTAACCAGCAGAAAGTCATGTGTCTTGCCCTGATCAGCAAGGACACAGTGGTCAATACAGAGAGAGCTCTCCAAAGGCTGACTCAGTTCATCCTAAGATTAATATAGAAGGAAGTGTCCATTGGAAATGCCCGTCCTCCTCCTTTGCATAGAATTTTGGCTTCTAAATTTTTAGGTGACTCCCAGCGTGAAATTATTCATGTGTGATTAATTTTTCAAGAGCGTATGTGTGACCTTTCATTAAATAGTCCCCAAAGTGTAACAGTGTGACTGATGAAGGAATAATGTAATACTGCAAAACCACACCCTACGGGACAATTGTTTCTATCTATGTTGTTCTGCCGGTTTCAGCAACTCTCTCTGGGCCTGACTGTTTCTGCTAAGACCTCAGGCAAGCTTTCATTTTTCCTTCTTGAAAGCACTTCTTGACAAGTTTGGTTGTTTTTCGTAAAAATGGATTTCTTTGAGAATTCCTGAGGTACTATCTGTGCCAAGAGGAATTTCCCATTGTAATTGTCATTGTATAGCATGCTATCCAGTTCCTTCCCTCAAAAGTACAAAGAGTAACAAGAAGAGAGAATTTGACCAAGAAATCACCTATCTCTCTCCTTAAAAATGGAATTAGACCCAAGGGGATCAAGAGAGTTTTCATAAAGTAAAGCTAAAGCCATTTACTGAACATAGTGGTCTAGTTCAAGTCATGAATGCAAGTCTGGTGGATAATTAACCATGTACAGTTAAACATCATTCAAAAGTGGAACGAAACATGGACCAAAACATTTGTGAATCTTGCTTCTCAGTGGTTTAGCGATTGTTCTGGAATTGCTGTTCATGTCTTTGCACTTCATTTTGGTTTACAAATGTTGACCATTTTTCCTATCTATGTTTTCTTCTTTTCTCTGTCTTTCTGAGTTTTGTGATGCCAGTTGGAAGCAGCACCTGCAATGAACAGTCCTCAGGTGAGACATAGTGTATAGGGATATAACTACTGAGCTCAAAACTTTCTGTCCTGGATCCAAAGGTTTAGGTGACAGGCATCATCCATCCTCTGTGCAGACTTAGTGATGCAGCTAGTGCTGCTTAGCAGAAAGAAAATCTTAATGCTTTGGGTACACAGCCATCTGATGCTGGTTTTAGTACTGGCTTGCAAGTGGGTTGAACCCTATACAACTCACTGTGTGACTGCAGTGCTGGCCCCAGAGAGACAGCCAGAATGAGCAGGGACAGGGTGGGACCTCTTCTTCTGATGGCAACAGAGATCTTATGCTAGATTTAGGTGAAGTTGTTACCTAACTGAAATGGCGGCAGTAGCTGCATATATTCAGGATTTTACAGCAGTTATTCCATTCTCTAGGAAGTGAAGGGGCTGTAGTGTCAAGTATAAACATACTAAACTTCCACCTGGCTTAGAGGAGGAAAGAATTGGTTTATTTATTGAATGTGTATTGTTATTCTGATAAATCATTCTTTTAAAGTCTGGGATCTTTCTTGGCAGCATCCAGCCCTCTGTTCTTTTGTTACAGTTGAAAGCACATTGAATTTGACCTAAGTAGCCTCTGGAGTTCGTGCTGGATTTAAGAATTTGGGCAGGAGATACAGAGATGTACTGGATTGAACTCAAAAGCGGTACCACCCCAGAAAACATGTATTTGGAATTGCACTTCTAAAGCTGTTCTTTAATGCTGTGCCACAAGTTTTGAGACGAATGCTGCTAAACTGGTGCAGGCTGAAGAGCCAAACTGTGGCTACTGCTGGAATTCACAGTAGCCCCCAAACGAACTTTTTTATACACTAGGTATGTTCACTCCTCTTTACCAGGGCTGCTGTTGGAGAGGCTCTTTCCTTTGCCTTTAACCTGTGCACATAGGATCCTGAACATTATGGTCTATTGCCAAAGACAAAAAGAGTCAAAGGGTGAGCCCAGGTGAAATGCTTTGTGGCTCTGCAGGGCTCTGTTCCAGTGCTGTGACAGTCAGTTGAGAGATGGTGTCTTATTTCCCATGGGAATTGCATTGGTGTTCACATCAGGGGTAGAGCAGCCCTACTCTGTGTGACAGCAGGGCACAACTTAAATGTGCCCAAACAACCTTAAATGTGCCCAAAGGGAGAGTGGTGACTGCAGCAGGGAGCAACAGGAAGGTGTGTCTGCAGGCTGGTACCTCTATGCTAACAGGGAGAATATACTGGTCACATGGAGGGTGAGGGCTGTACCTCCTGAGGGTGACAGCAGCAGCCTTGCTCCACCTCTGTGTTTGGGAGCCCAAGAAGGGACCCTGCCCTTGGGGAAGCAGCATCCGTCTCATACTCCTCCTAGATACACGCACATCATCAGTGCTGATCTCAGTGAAGCCCTACATGGAAGCATAAGAACTCTTCGGGAGCTTGGGATTTCCTATACCTAGTATCGTGCATGTGTTAAATTAGTAGTACTTTAGCTGTGTAGTTAGAAAATACCAAGTAGAGATGATACTTACCCATGCCAGCCAGTGTGGCAGAGAATCGGGGCATGCGTAGATGAGTTTAGGCTCAGGATGGGCTGCTGTGGAGTTCACCCTTTGCTTTGGCTGAAAGCATGAGAAATTCCTGCCCAGCCAGCATCGGGCAATCAGAGGCACTACCCACTTTGTACTTAGTGTTCCCTCCTTTGCAATAGTTTTCAAAAAAAGTGACTGTACAAGTGAACAGCTGTCCTGGAAGTTCAGCCATTCAAAAAAGGAGGCTTTTCTGCTGTGTGTGGTCACAGCACAAGGACAATTCAATTTCTCTGTTGCCTTGTTTGTTTCCGTGTCCATACAAATGTGGAAAAGACCCAGACAATTTAAAATGACTCATTGAGCTACCAAGAAAAAAAGAAAAGGCATATTTGATTTAATGGGTAAAGGTAAACATAGTGACTTGATTTTGCCTTTGCAGAGATTTAGAAATTAGTGATGACAGAATTTCTTGTTGCTGGGAATTTTTATATTTGACTTTTATCTAAGGCCTTCAATATAAAATATCACACATTATGAAGTTCTGTATTTACAAGGGTTTAAAAGTACGCAGCAGAGTTTTGGCTTTGTGCAGATACTCAGCACTGGTGTGGTGTTCCAGTGGCCCAGTGATGTACTGTTAAGTATGTATGAAACTTAACACTGGACTTTTGACCTCTGCAGTGCTCTTTGGGTATCTAGAGCTAGTTGTGAAATGGCAGGATTATTCAGGACAGCAGTTTGTTTTTGTTGTTGTTGAAGTTGTTACTTGTGGGGAGCAAAGTTTGTAAATTTTAGAGATGAAGTATGACTGAATAATATTTGGCAGTCTTATCTGCTTTAAAATTTCCTCTCTCTTGAGCTACTGGGTGAAGTCTGTCCAATAAAAATAATTTCCCTTAACTGCCCACTTCCATTTGCTCATGAAAAGAAGAAATTTTAAGTAAATGGGACTACACATAATGCTGCATTCATGAACCGATGTCAAAACCTCATGACTTAATGAGTGTATGAAGCCAGAGACCAGACAAGTAATGACTTTCTCGAAGCTGCCAGATTGAGGCCTTGGGGTTGGGAAATGAAGGGTATCAACATAGGTCAAACTGAAATAGCTTTTATTCAGCATTTTGAGTTAAATGAATAAACAGAATGCCTATGGTCAATCCAAAATTGAGGGTGACACAAAACATGTTTGTATGAGGTTATTTAAATTTTTTTTTGGGGGATTAAGTTCTATTTTTAAAGAATGATGTTTTGAAATTAAAGGTTTTAAAAATCTATCTTTTATTATGTTTTGGCATGTGTGAAATTAACTGTTTGGGATTGAGTTTGGGGTTTGGCTTTGGGGTTTTTTTTTTTGGTTTGTTTGCTTGGTTTTTTGATTGATTTTTGTTGGGCTTTTATTTAAGTTCATACCTTAAAAAATTCCATCTATTTGGTTTAAGAACATTCAGTGAATTCAGCTGCCCTTGGCAGGTTCAGCTCTGAACCTGTAGCTTCACAGTGTCTTACAGTGACCCCATTTCTAACATCTGAATTTGGCCATCTGGGTTTCATTTGTGTCTTCTTGTGGCAGTGGGAAAACTGGTTCATTACATGGAGCTGGCTACAGATAATCAAGATACTTTTTGCAGCAGTGCCAGACATCGTCTTTAAAAGCACTTAACTCTATTGACTTGTTTACCATGGTTATTTATGACTTTCCAGCTATGTGCTGTCCATTATTTCCTTTCCTTTTTATACTAGCCTTCAGACTCACTTCTCTCCCCTCTGTTTCTCATTCCATTGCAAACCTGGAGGCGAGTCTCCCTTGTTTCCCACTGAGCTCACGCTCAGTCTGTGTTACACGTGGCGTACAGGGTGGCTAACCTACAACTTGAAGTAGCTTTTAACACAGGTCCAGTACAGGATATGTGAACACCACAACTGAATGCCTAGCCAGGGCAGGAATCCAAACTCCCTGCTACGCTGTCCTTCACAAGCAACACGCACTGTTCCTCTCCCACTGGTTTGCTTTTATTTGATTTTGAAGATGAGAGTATGTTCAGTTTGTTGCTGTGTCGATATTAAGTATATATTTATTGTTTTTTTCAGACATACATACATATATATAAATGCTATATATATATAATGTCAACGCATGGACATATGTACAGTAGATATTTTAAAGAGCTATTTATCAAGAAAAGTAAGTGTTATAAGTAAACAGAGTTTATATTTTATATATTATGTAGATAGCAAAAAAAAAAAAAAGTGGTTAAATTATAGTAGGACTTTTGGGGATGGGGTTGGAGAAATGGGCAAGGACTGGTTCTAGCATTTTAAATAGCCAAACTACTTTGTACGGAAGCTGCCTGCTGTGCCTCTCGGCTGCAATATCTGTTTGTTTCTTCTTTTGGAAGATGATGTGCATTGTTACTTTTACATTGCTTGGGGAATGTAGTTAGTTTATTCTCAGCCAACTGGTATGTGCTGCTTAAAACATGGTTTCCTGCTGTTCTGCGTATTTGCATTGATGGAATAAAGGATCTTAACTGGCAAATAAAGACGTAAAAGGATGTGATCTCAGCTGTCTGTGGTTTTTCCCCACACTTCTGTTTTGAGGGGGTGTAATAACCATCACCTTTGCCTGGTTTCTAGCCTGCCTGTTAAGTTCAGCATATCAGAGTGAAATACATGGGCTTTTGTGCTTGGGGGTGGGGATTGTGATGGAGGGAGAGGAAGAAGAAGGTTTAACACTATGCCATTGAAGGTATTATGTTATAGCGAGGACCAAACTAACACCTATTGGAGGGATGTGTCCTGAGGAATCAGCTGGTTTTGTTGTCAAAGGATGTATGTCCAGTGGCATAACAAAATGGGGGCATTGGACATCCTCACTGAGCACAGCCTGGAGATCCTTTCTCCTGAATTTTCTCTTTCTCCTGGATCCTTTCTCTCCTCCTTTCTCCAGCACAGCCTGCAGATCCAAATCCTACCTCCCCACTGGTGTCCTGGAATGTTTTTGCCTTCCCTGTCCTGAGCTCCCTCCAGTGACTTCCCCAGGCCTACGCGATCCTTGCTCCCATCTGCCAGGAGCTGTCAAGTCTTTCTGCTTACCCACTGTTCTTTTCTCCCCTGTGTGTCAGAGTATCAAAAGTCTAGTAAGGATCTTGTTAGTCCAGCCCCTCTGATGCTTAAGAAAACCTCACTCGCGTTTGAAGCAGAAGATAATATGAAGCAATTGTAAATTCTAGGCTCTGAGGAAAGCTTGATTGCCTCTGTGATTGATGTGTAAAAAGGCTAGAGCATTTTCTATGTTGCTTTTCCTATTTTACGGCAGAGCACACATAAGGATGTTGGATTCTACTCCTGTCAGTGCTCACTCATTTTCCAGGCACTACGAAAGTGCACAGATCTGAGGCACAAATCCATGATGGGATGGGAAATCATTGTCACTTACAATGCACACTCCCCTCAAATCATACAATCTTGTTAACTGTATATTTTTCCTATATATAAAAATTCACAGAGTGGGTATAGCATTTACTTCATCACAGAAATGTAATGTGTTAGCAACTTCTATTACTTCCATCGCAGCTATCATACTTTAAAGATGTACTGATGTTTATATACACATAAAATTTTTTTTATTGGTTTTAATACACATGATTTTCTTAGGCTCAAGAGGAGAAAAGTACAAGACAAGGAAGCTTCAGTCTGCAGGTCTCCAGCAATTATTGTTTAATGTTTGTCTTGTCCTGGTGAGTAAATATAGTATACCCTTGCTCAGATTTCTGGATCACTGCCTCCAGCTAATCAATTAGGCACTGAATTAAAATAGGGCCAAATTTCATGGTATATTCTTTCCCATCAATTTCATCATAAAATAAGGCCTACTTCCTTCTCAGAGGCCAAAACATAGAAATCTTTGGAAAACAGCACCTAGGGGAGCAATTACTGTGAGATAGTGTTGGAGATGCAGTGGGATTATTAGTACAGCATTTCAGTGCACAATATGTAACTGTATAGGTAAGTGCAAATGCAAGAGTGAGTATAAACATTCCACGCTAATGAGGCTACCCAAATGCTAAGGTAAACATTTCCAAACCTGTGTCAGCACAGTGAGACACTTAGGTGTAGATTTATGAACCCACGTAAGAGTTCTGCTTTTAAAACAAACTGCAGAAATGTAGGTGAAGGGGAAAACTTCATGCCATTTTCCCTAGTTTTTGAAGAACCAAGGCTTCTACAGTTTACCCTGGCTTGTCCTGCTGTTTTCTGGAGTCTTTATTGATTAGCAGCTATGTAGCAAAAACAATGGGTGGCTTGTAGCCATAAATATTAATCAAGAAGAATGTTAAATGCATTGCATTGTTCTGTTCAGGATTGAAGAGTTTGCTGGGGCAAGGGTTATTAAAACATGCTGCTGTGCCAAAGAGAAGATGCACTTAATGCCTTTGCTACTTACTCCTGTTGGGAGGTGGAAAGCCTTGGAGCTCTTTTGTGATGCCAGTGGAAAGCTCATGTTTCAGATTTGACATATGTGAAGCCCAAAACAATAGGACAATTTGCCACATGTAATGCACCAGCACAGCTCAAATGGGGGTGAGACAGCATAGCTCTTCCTAGAGCAGCCTTTCCTGGGGCTGGAGGTTGGGGGGAATGGCTGGTGCAGCCCTGCTGCACCCAGGTGCCTCTTGCTCAGTCTGCTCAGGCCTATGTGCCTGTGCTGGTCACTTCTGCAGTCATCATGTTCAGCATGGAAAGAAGAAATTTCCATCGGGTGCCCCCAGCCAGCAACACTTGGAGTCACCAGACCTGTCACCGGTCTCACAGCAGTATCCTAGTACAAGCTAACACTTGTGTCCTGCATATATTGCCTTTTCTAATCTGCTTTGCACTTGGGAGTGCTCCAGCTAGTGACTTTAGCACTGTGAACCTTGGTGTGCACCATCTCTTTACTTTAAAATGAATAATTGCAGATCCAGAAGCAGTTCCTGAGGGATGAGGCAGGGCTGCTGACAAGCACTGCTGACACTTCTTTCTCTTGTTCTCAACTGCTTGTTCCTGCCTTCCCCGAGTATGGGCACATGGGGAGCATGTGTGCAGCCACCTGGTTAATGTGATCATGGATTTAGCTGAAAACTAAACATGTGAGGGTTTTACTAGATTACTTTTCAGGCAGAGCAATTCCCTGATTGTCGACAGCAATTGATGCGAGATCACTCTAATAGCAGAATGTAAATAGAAACCAGGTCTGGTGACTGCCAGAAATGCACCTTTTTCATCAGATCAAAGTAAAGTAACTGCAGACTAATAAACAGGACCAAAAGAAAAATGAATGAGCAGAGGAAAACAATTTCTGTCCTTACAAAAGGATATACATGTAAGCAAATGTTTCTTAAGGAACTGGAGGCCTCCTCCTCCAGACATGGAAGTGGTGTATATACAGATTCTAGATAACCCTTTCAGAGTGTGCTCCAATCTGTTTTAATAACTCTGCCTTTTGCAGTTAATCACATCTTACAAACTAAAGGCTTTTGCAGTGATTATCATATTCCATTCAGGTAATGAGAACAGGCATTGTCACTTGTGCAAGTAAGTTTTACATGGTGTTTCAGCCAAACCTGGAAAAGCTGAGACCCACTTTTCAGACTTTGAGAAGGCAGAGACTGTTGGAAATGGAAATGGTGCTTGATGGACTTCTTTATTTTCCCAGTGCTAAATTGCTAGATTTTATATTTTAACATTCCTTTTCAGTGGTGCTAGTTATGATACCTTATGGAAGTTTCTGTTATGAAAAGAAGCCTTACAGCTGGGGAGCTGTGACAAGCTCTCCATCTCAAGAAGGAAGGTAATCAGAAAGACAGTGAAAGTCAGAACTGGCATAAAAAGCAGATTAAGAAGAAACAAGAATGTTCCTGGGCTTGGAAGATTGACTTTCTATCCTGTTAAATTGTTAGAAACATCCCAAGCATGGTTTCTGGCTTAGATCAACTTGTATTTTTCTAGATCCTTTCTGTGGCACCGTTAGGAAGTTAGCATGCAGCAGACATGATTCCCACTAAGCAAATCGCTTGAAACCACCCTCTTTTGGGTGATTATGAAATCAATAATAGGGCCACTGGCATTCTGTGCCTATGGCCAGATGGTGGGCCTGGGTGCTTGATCTGCTGTTGTGGATACAGTTCAGTGTTGGGGACTGATCAGTGGAATGGAAGGATCATAGAATAGAATCATAGAATCATCTGGGTTGCAAAAGACCTCTGAGATCATCAAGTCCAACCCTTGATCCACTACCGCCGTGGTTACTAGACCATGGCACTAAGTGCCACATCCAGTCTCATCTTAAAAACCTCCAGGGATGGAGAATCCACCACTTCCCTGGGCAGCCCATTCCAATGCCTCATTACCCTCTCTGTAAAGAATTTCTTCCTAATATCCAACCTAAACCTCCCCTGGCAAAGCTTGAGACCATGCCCTCTTGTCTTACTGATAGTTGCCTGAGAGAAGAGACCAACCCCCACCTTGCTACAACCTCCTTTCAGGGAGTTGTAGAGAGTGAGGAGGTCTCCCCTGAGCTTCCTCTTCTCCAGGCTGAACAAGCCCAGCTCCCTCAGCCTCTCCTCATAGGACTTGTGCTCGAGTCCCTTCACCAGCCTTGTTGCTCTTCTCTGGACCTGCTCCAGCACCTCAATATCCTTCCTGAACTGAGGGGCCCAAAACTGGACACAGCACTCGAGGTGAGGCCTCACCAGTGCTGAGTACAGGGGAAGAATCACTTCCCTGGACCTGTTGGCCACACTGTTCCTGATCCAGGCCAGGATGCCATTGGCCTTCTTGGCCACCTGGGCACACTGCTGGCTCATGTTCAGCTTCCTGTCAATCCAAACTCCCAGGTCCCTTTCTGCCTGGCTGCTCTCCAGCCACTCTGTCCCCAGCCTGTAGCGCCCCATGGGGTAAAGGTTGGTATTACAAAACTTGTGCGTACAGAAATGAGTCTGTGTCACAGTGCGAGGAAATGCAGGTATAAACTGTGCCAAGTTCTTTCAGCACGACATTTTTTCTTCAAATGGACTATTTTTTCACTCACTTTTCTATGCCTTTTGTGTGCAGTTCCATGACAGCAGAAATAACTTTCTGGGAGATGTTCTGCCCTTTTGGCTACAGACCTTGCTAGCTGGGAATAATTCCTGTTTAGGCCTACTGCAGGACCAGGGCCTCTGAGGAGAAGAGGGGACCAAGTCACTTGCTGAATTGACAAAATGCCCAGCTATCCATCCACATTTGGCAAACTTTGTCTGTACTGCTTCACATCAATGAAGTGTCTTATGAAGATTAACAAATCCACTCCAAATGAGCTGTTGTGATTATTCCCATTTTGCAGCTGGGAAGGTGGAGGAAGAGGTGAAGTCAGTGAGATGACTCTCTAATGAATTTTTCCGTTCTCTGAGTCTCCTACTTGGATTATTAGGTTTGCCCTCTCCCAGTGTCTGAACCCATCACTCAAAATGTCACTCTCAGAGGGCCTTCCAAATGTCTAAGATGACAGAAATGTCTTATTCCAGACCAGGTACCAGCTTAGGTC